GTAGCATTGGTCGAATTTTAGCGACGTTATTTGCTGACAATGGTGGAAACATTCCGAATTTGAAGAGACACGGTGGCTGGAAGTCCACCGATGTCGCTGAAAGATATACAGACGATTCCCTTACAAACAAAATTGAAACGACCACGACCATTGAAAAATTAACAGATGAAACCACTCAATGTGAAACGGAAACTTCACCTTCTTGTTCTGACTTCAACAAAAGTCATTTGAATATACCAAGCATTTCAAAGGAATATAATTTTTTCTAGTCGTGCATAAAAACAGCAGTTTCCGGACTTGTTACGTGAATTACCGTTTCGTATTTTCAAATTCACATCATATTTATCACCAACACATTCCTATATTTTGACATATAAACATATATTGTAAAATAATAGATAGGGCAAAATTGTAAAATAAATTTAGGTTGGTATACCTGCCTTTTGTTGTTTTGTTGTTGTTGTTTTTCATAGTGATTAACGTAGAGTGAGAACTGAGGTATAGACAAAGATAACTACTTTTAGTAATGGCATAGGTACTTGAAATCGGTGTTGATTCTGAAAATATATAAATGGGCCAAATTTCTTTTTAAATGGTACACACTACATTTCAAAACAGTTTGTTTTGACATTCTGAGATGATTTTGAGTCACTTTCATACAGGGTAATTCAAATTCAAACCCTACCATTGGGATCTCCCAAAGTACAGGAGATACGTCAAAGCTTAAATTGGAGCAAATTTGAGTTTTTCTGTGCCTAATAAAATACTGTTTGAAACTTGAAAAATTTCCAGTATTTCTGGAAATATAAGAAAAAAACAGAAAATCTGAATTTTCGTTTTCATTTTTTTCTAGCATAGCTCAAAACCCAAAACACATTCTCATTGATACATTTTTTCAGCTACAAGTTTTCATGTTCTGTTTCTGTTTAAAATCTGTTTTTCCGTTAACCAGCTGTCGCACCCCTACGAACGACAACCCTCAGAAGTCGAAACTTGTGCGAGCAAGGGATTAACGAGGTCTTACCTTTTAACGTGTGATTCCTAACACGGATTGGACGGTAGCAAGTGAAGATCGATCGTTCAGACTAGGGCTTGAACCACCGACCAACACGGCAGTCAATTCGAGTGAGTGAACAAAGCACCCACGCCGAACCGCTTGGCTACCGACTGACCAGTTCAGTTTTTCTATCCGACGTTTCGCCTTCTGGCAATCATCATCAACGTTTTTTCTATTATGGACGCCAAATAGTGCCCCTTATTCTGATTTCATTGATGTATACTTCATTATGAGTTGCTCTTTTGAAACCACAGGTTACTTTTTTCAGTTGTCTTAGGAGATATAGTTGATTAGAAAGTTTAGAGCACCTTTGGTCAATATAAGAGTTGTATTTCAAAGAGTGATCCAAGGTTATACCTAGAAGTTTAACTTCATTTGCTTAGTTCTCACGACATTCACTTTGAATGGAAATCCTTTGGCATTTATTAGGGTTTTGTTACGATTTGTTTGTTAGAAACTCTTCCTTCGCTCTATGCTTCGCCAATTCCATTGAATTTGACAATATTTGCTTATCAACATGTGATTCATATATGGTTACATCATCTGCAAACAGCATGCATGATGATGGTGAGAAGTTTTGCGGTAGATCATTGATATAATAAAATGAATAGGAGAGTACCTTATTCAGACCCTTGGGGTACCCCATGTTTGACGATTCGGAACTCTGATTGAGAATCCTGGTATTGTACGATAATCAATCGTTGATGTTTAGTTTTTCTCAGCAAAATATTACAAATTCATTTGCCCTCCATGAATTTGACTTTCAATTTCTTACACTCAATGACATTTTGTTATTGAATTTTTGGCGAAAAATGGCTTTTACAAATGAAAAAAAAGAGATATGATACAAATTCATTACAAATACGATAGAAACAGTGTTAGGACATCGGAAATGTATTTAAACTTGTATCCAGAAAGACGACAACCACATCGAACTATGTTCAAGTTATTGGCTCAAAATCTCACCGAGTTTGATTCGTTTGAAAAGCCAATGAAAAAATACGGAGATAGAATCAACAATTAAAATTTGAAAAATTGGATGTGTATGAGGTAAATTAGACATTGTGTTCTTCTCAATGAAAATAGAACTTCAATTATAAATTACAACAAATGCTCAAAATGCTGACCTTGTTCATGATAACACAACTGTGCCCTTCTCTAACAATGCTGTACTGAAGGTTATCAATACTTTGATATCCCCTCTGACCATAAACTCTATTTTCAGTGTACCCCATAAGAATGTATCCATAACACTTGAGTCTGGAGACCTTGCTAGCCACCTCACCGGCCCATTATTCTCTATCTATTTGTCACCAAACCTTTCAGTCAGGTGAGTAGATACTCATCTGGTAGTGTGCGGTGGAGCACCATCATGTTAAAACCAGATGTTGTTATAGTTAGCTAAAGGTAGATCGTCCAAATAGTCTTCGAAAATCGACATTAAAAACTGGCGATAGGTTTCTCCATTGAGAATTTCGTCAAATAAATGAGGACTCAAAATTCTATCTTTGTAAATTCCTGCCCACACGTTAATACTAAATCGCACTTGAGGTTGAATTTATCGGAACTGCCTGGGGTTGTTTATGCTCCAAATGTGCTTTCATCGGTCCCTACTACATTTTCCATCCGTTTCGGGGTCACCTGGTTGCAATTTTTGAGATAGGTATGTGTATTTTGTAACATTTCAAACTGCTTTTTTGAGATGTCTCCAAGCACTTGTATGACAAATATTCATTTCGGAGGATATTTGACGTATAGATTTTCCCGACTTCATGTTTATCTGCAAATTAATAATTTTCACTGAAAAGAACACAATATCTAACCTACCTTATACATACCTCATTCATCAAATTTTCTGTAGTTTCCTGGTCCATTCTGTCTATAATGGGAATGCCATCGGATGAGATGCTTCCCCAGTATAGCTTCGGAAAAAACTTCAAAACAATTATAACAGGCAGAGAGGCATGGAAGGAAGGACCTCCAATAAATGCAGAGATTGCCTGTTACACAGACGGCTCAAAAACTGAAGAAGGTGTAGGAGCAGGAATCTATATAAGTAAACCAAAGACAAACGTCTCACTAAGCTTAGGTAAAAAAGTGACAATATTCCTGACAGAAACGGCAGCAATACGTCACTTCGCAGAAGAGTTAGTAAGGCAGGAGTTTAGGGGAAAGACTATTGCAATATAGCCTAGCAGATATAAAAGCAATTAGCTCCATGCAGGTCAATTCCAAACTGGTCTGGAACTGCCTACAAAAGCTACAAGAACTAGGTAGTCAAAACAGACTGTCATTAGCCTGGATACCAGGCCAAACAGGTTACAAAGGCAACGAAGAGGCTGATTCACTAGCACGAGAAGGAGCACGATGCTCCCCCATTGGCCCAGAACCCTTTTGTCGTACAACAAAAGCGCTGCGAAAAACTTGTAACAGCAACTGGAAGAGAAAACAATCTCAAGAATGGTGAAATAAGGCCCGGGTATTAGAGAGGCCAAAGAGTTCATTAAAGAGCCATCGCCAAAATTTACGGAGTACCTACTAAGTCTGAACAGGCGATCAACTAGAGTTCTGGTCGGGTTATTGACGAGACACTGTAGACTCAACAAACATATGAACAACATCGGACTGGCAGACACAGCCCTATGCAGGCTTGCCAAGAGGATGGGAAACCTCTGTACACATATGCTATTGCGAAGGTCTGTCAAGGATAATGTTTGCAACATTAGGAGAGGAAAAACCACAACCCTCTCAATATATGGGGAACTCGAGGTCTGGCCTATGGAGTCTAGTTACAAGGACGGGCCTAGACAAGGAACTCTAGCATACACGAGGGCACACACAATAGACCTGCAAAGGTCGCAGTGTAGTGGCTGTTCAGCACAGAAGCCCCATATTAATCTAATCTAATCTAGCGCCTTTAAGAAAAAATAAAGTTGATGATGGTGGCCGGACGGCGAAACGTCTGACAGCAAATATGAAAACACCATTATGTGGCAGCGAAAAAGTGGCGAAGTGGAAATGCAATTGATTTCCGAATTCTTCGAAAAATAAACCCAAAAATCAAAACCATTTTCCAAAATTTCAGTTTTTTCCGGATATCTCCGGATATACTCGGAATTTCAGAACTTTTTCAACGGCATATATCCCGGTAAATGCGCATTTTTGCCCCGATTCAACCATCTTCGTGTCTCTCATAATTTCCGAGATCCCAAAGGTGACACTCGAATTTGAAACACCCTGTATTTGATGGAATTGGCCGATACTGAATACTGAGCAGTGTTTTTACCCTGTTACCGCCCGTGAAACTGAGAAAACATAATATTTCTCTGTTAACACTCAGTCTAGAACAGTGATCAGCCTTGACCAACTCTCACCACCGCGTCCCAATTTCATCATGACCAAGAGACTGGTCTAAAGCTTCTCTATTATAACCGCATCGCCGCTTGAATGACCCCAATAGCGCACAAAAGATTGTGAAGCTTTTCATACCTCTTTCAGCGGCGAAGTTTACGGAAGTAGAACTCGTTGAAAACAATGCATGTTTTTTAATTGGAGTTGGGATTATGAGGCTTTATCAGTTATTGTTCTGGGAAATGACGACGGAGGCTGTGATAACGTTCACTGCAAGTGGCCGTCGATGGATACCTTTAGAATACTTTTACACTCAACACTGGTGTTCCTCAGGAATCCATATGGTCTCCATATGTATATTTATTGTATATCATGGCGGATGACGGCATGGAGATCCTCAGACATCAGTACCGCCCTTCACGGTGAACCCCTGCCTGGCTGGGATGAGTGGATGAGAAAATTGTTCATCGAGAGGGGTCATCTACAGCATAATCTAGAGCTTACCTAACTAACGGATTATCGTGAGTTTCCGCACCGTCGAAAACTAGCTGAATCCTTGATTGAATGTGATCATTTCCGAGTTGACATAAATATTCACACCACTGTCACTCAGTCAACAATATCTGTCAAAATTGTCAACACAGAATATTAGGAATTTATGCAAAAATGCCGGGTAAAGCTACGTGGTATACACCGATAGCAGTTTTGAAGAACAAACAAGAAGGGTGGCAAAAAATAGAAGACACATGTTGGGTGAGTATCAGCAAATTGTCACTTGGAAAAATGATTATTCCTGAAAAACTTTGGAAACTAAAAGTACCATTTGTAACATTCAAAGGCATTCTGATCTTAGTATCGTTGCTCATAACTCTTTCTGATTCTTCCGTGATATATCGTGCGTAACATTTCCATGAAAGAATTGATGTGCTGAAATTCTCAGTTTTGAAAGCCGCTGCGTTTAACATATGCATGTCTTTGATTTACAGAAAGCTCCACCGGTGGACCTGACCAAGGAAATAAACTACTTCAACAACGATTTCCAGCACCACAGTTTGCCGGAATATGACCTATATTTCGCCTTTACCAAAACTCTACCTTTGTGGGATGAAAGAAAAGGTAGAGATAACAGAAGTTACTTGCCAGATATACATGAGAACATTTTTGAACAGGTACAGACTTGAAGATTTGCTTTTTCGCATTGTTCACCATCGCTATTGGAATCACTACACAGAAAAAAGTCTGCGTTGTTACCACACTCGTTATTACTATTCCACTTCCAACACTCAAATCGCGATCAGTTCTGAACTGAACATTGACAACAACGAGTATGAACATCCTCGTATTCTATTCGTCATCGTAACATAGCTTCAAACTCAATTTTATGACTCTTCAGCCAATCATAAAACTCGGTTAGTAAAAATTATGCAGTATGAACCGCCAAATCTTCAGTCGACGTGGACTAGTTGGCAGCGGCATAACTTATTTGTATTGGTTTTTTAGCCTTTGAGGGCGCCGACACCTTTAATTATTCACAATACCAGTTACTTCGACTATAATAATAATTAAGGCAGAACTTAAACGAGATAGAATGAAAAAATCTGGTATATATGTATAGACACTCCATGGACTTGATAATACATTTTCAGGAGAAATTGAAACCTATTCCTGCTCTAACGTCTATGAATTATGGAAGACCTTGTAGAGTACCCTATGACGTGAGTGATATAACTTATAGAAGACAGAATGCCACATCAGATTTCAAGAGAAGAAGAGGAGTGGAAATTTAGGAGAAACTCAATGAACAGATAATTTTCCGAGTGATACAAATATGTATATCAAAATATTGTTGTAATCTGGTAACTTTGCAATCAAATAAATGCAAAAATTATCTATTTTTTTGATGTGATACATACTAGCTATGAATTGTGGGAAAAAATTCAGGTGGGTTTAAACAATTTTTCTATTCCGCCTAGAGAAAGATTACTCGTAGATAGTTTTCTGAAAATTCAGCTCCATGAAGACATACGAGGGGAATTTCATTAGTTCGGACTTCCATTGTCTGATATTATATAAAATGATTTGAATAGTTAAAAATAACAATTATATTAAGCAAAAACCCTGAAATGAAATAATAGGGCAATAGAATGAAAGTAAAAATTGAATGATTGAACAAAAAAAAATAATAAAAAGTTTCAATTGTTGGTATTCACAATCGTCTTCGGGTGATGACTGGACTGATTCCTCAGAGAGATGATTATTTATGGGACATTCGAGTACTTTCACTTTCTCCGCTTTTTTTTCCGCTTCACTGGTTTAGTGAGAGATGACCGTTTNAGCTGTTTCATACAATAATACCATTTCTAGCTTCCAACCTGTAGTACATGGAGTACCTCAAGGATCTATCCTTGGGCCCTTACTTTTTATCATCTATGTAAATGATTTCTGCAATTTTATGACGTCAAATAAAACAATTCTCTATGCTGATTATACGACCTTAATCTACAGTGGAAATAGTATCAACAAACTAACAGAAATATCGGAAGACATTGAAAATAAAGCTAATACTTGGTTATCTTAAATTATATTTTATACTCATCCGATCTGAAATTACTTTTGCTGTGCGTAAGCATATGTAACAAATTTGTCATGACTTGCTACAAACATGTTGGGTGTAATGTGGTTAAATAAACTTCTATTCTATTATAGTCTATTCTATTCACCCACCATACTCTCCAGACCTTTCGCCAACCATATTTTCAAATACTCTGATAACTTTCTGACCGGTAGAACCTTCGCCAACCAGGACCAGGCAAAAATGGCCTTCGTCGACTTCATCAAATCCAGAACACCCAATTTTTAAGCTGACAGAATAAATTGCCTTGTATCAAATGACGCTTATTTCGATTGATTTGAATAAATTTTCACTGAGATATAACAGATTCAATGATTTATACATTCACCAGTAGAAAGACCTATAATAGAGAAAATAAAATAGCAGATAGGCGGGGAAAAAGGTATTTTATAGATTCCATTTCAGCATTCGTGAACCAAATGATTTCTATTTCCATTCAGATAATGGAATTTACAACACGAGTGATACAATTTAAACCCTGTTTCGAATAATCATTCTGGCAATGGCAAACAAATTAAAGCTAATCATTCGATCGATTAAATCGGTTAGATAACGGGAATACAAATGGATGGTTACAGGTAGAGAATGACTGAAAATAAATGTTTTGGCGCATGTAAATTAACGATAATCGTAGGAAATACATTGCAATGAAACGCTTGTCGCGTACAGAAAATTATACAGCAACGCTTAAACTGTCTCCCCCTTTGTTGGTCCGTTGGCTATACCAGAAAAAAAATCTAGTTTGGATTTCGGATGTTGAACAAAAAAAAACTTATTATACCCCAGAAAAGGATACAACTGGATTTAAAAGGATCAGGTGCGAAAATAACAGATTTTCCACATCAAAAAATAACCAGACGCAAGTCAAATTTTGAAATATGCTGTGTAATTTTTCTGTGACTCAGAGTTGCCTATTTTACGTGAATAATGGTTGAATATCAAAAAGTGGCGCAGTCGGTAGGATCCTTCAATATTTTTGGAAAACAGAGCAGCCTAACTATCAGTGGTTGGCCTCAATCCTTCTAAGGAAAGAAGAACCAATACACCCAACTTTTAGACTACAGCAAAATGGTCTCTTCCACGTCGAAGAATACGTGTACGCTAACTTTGTCTTAGCAATGCTAGTGAAATTGAAATTCAAAGGCACATCCTTTGGTAGGCAATAATCAAAAAATCATTTCCATTTTCATTGTTATCATCAACTGAAATATCAATGTGAAACGGAAACTTCACCTTCTTGTTCTGACTTCAACAAAAGTCATTTGAATATACCAAGCATTTCAAAGGAATATAATTTTTTCTAGTCGTGCATAAAAACAGCAGTTTCCGGGCTTGTTACGTGAATTACCGTTTCGTATTTTCAAATTCACATCATATTTATCACCAACACATTCCCAATGCGAATCCATCAAGAGTAATTCCATGAAATTCCGTATTTTCAGCGACAGTTCGTGAGTAAACGATTGGAATTACCGATTTGTCATGGCACACGCAAATTGGAAAAAGTTAGCCACTCCCATTACGGGATTGATGAAAATCGTATCGATTCCATCTGAGAGCGAGATGAATTTTCGAATAAATCACGTTATTGTAGTGGCAACAAAGGAAAATGTCCTAAATTAACGGTCTCTCTGCCCGTCACCGGCATTATGACATAAATTATTTCTCATGGATCTCATGGAACACGCTTTGCGAGTTCCACTGGGAATATCTGGCTAATTGCGAATAGTTAGCCGGGAACTTCGTCAGTGATGACTTAAATTGATCGCGTTAGTAGGCGAGATGGGTTTGGATTGGACGCAATGATCGTTATGCGGGTTTGGGAAAGGAAAATCATTGGAAATTGAGTTTCCATGTACAGAGTCCCGATGATCGTCAGCCACTTCCATTTTGTGACAGTAATAGAACTCACATTCGGAAAATTGATTCTGATTGTACCGACTCTTAAAATTTTATACTGAATACAGAAATACTCTTTTTGTCAATTTCAACTTCCGAGTATTCCATTTCTTTCATTTTGAGGTTAGGTATACGAATTGCTCTCAACAAGTACTTATGATGCACTGTTTGGAACCTTTGGTGTAGTAAAAATATTACTGGAGTTTTTTCCCAAGTGATCATCTTCAAAGAGGAAGATTAAAACTAGAAACTAATGCGAGCTAATCCTATTTATGCTATAAAGGTAACCCATACAGGTAAACTATTCAGGCGTACCAACCATACAGGTATACCAACCTGAATTAATTTTACAATTTTTCCTTATCTGTTATTTCACAATATATCCAAATAAATTTGGATAGGGTTACTGTCATCNCTTGGCTACCGACTGACCAGTTCAGTTTTACTATCCGACGTTTCGCCTTCTGGCAATCATCATCAACGTTTTTTTCTATTATGGACGCCAAATAGTGCCCCTTATTCTGATTTCATTGATGTATACTTTATTATGAGTTGCTCTTCTTAGGTTAATTTTTTCAGTTGTCTTAGGAGATATAGTTGATTAGAAAGTTTAGAGCACCGTTGGTCAATATAACAGTTACATTTCAAAGAGTGATCCAAGGTTATACCCAAAAGTTTAACTTCATTTGCTTAGTTCTCACGACATTCAGTTTAAATGGAAATCCTTTGGCATTTATTAGGGTTTTGTTACGATTTGTTTGTTTGAAACTATTCCTCCGCTCTATGCTTCGCCAATTCCATTGAATTTGACAATATTTGCTTATCAACATGTGATTCATATATGGTTACATCATCTGCCAACAGCATGCATGATGATGGTGAGAAGTTTTGCGGTAGATCATTGATATATGAAATGAATAGGAAAGTACCTTATTCAGATCCTTGGGGTACCCCATGTTTGACGATTCGAAACTCTGATTGAGAATCCTGGTATTGTACGATAATCAATCGTTGATGTTTAGTTTTTCTCAGCAAAATATTACAAATTCATTTGCCCTCCATGAAACTAAGGACTATAAAATCCTCATCCTCAGTATCCGGAAAAAACATAAATTTTGGAAAATGGTTTTTATTCTTTTCTAGCTTTATTTTTCGAAGAGTTCGAAAATAAATTGCACTTCCACATTGCCACTTTTTCTCTGCTACATAATGGTGTTTTCAGATTTGCTATCCGACGTTTCGTCTTCCGGCCACCACCATCAACTTATTTTTTCTTATGGGCGCTACATTGGATTTTTTCTGTTTTGAATGAAACCAGATTTTACCTTTTCAATGATGAATCATAAGTTATCATACTTTTTCGAAAAATTGTAGAAATTGAAAAAAAATTATTCTTATCATAATAGGCTTTGACTTTGATGTTTGTAAATTTGACTTTCAATTTCTTACACTCAATGACATTTTGTTATTGAATTTTTGGCGAAAAATGGCTTTTACAAATGAAAAAAAAAAAGATATGATACAAATTCATTACAAATACGATAGAAACAGTGTTAGGACATCGGAAATGTATTTAAACTTGTATCCAGAAAGACGACAACCACATCGAACTATGTTCAAGTTATTGGCTCAAAATCTCACCGAGTTTCATTCGTTTGAAAAGCCAATGAAAAAATACGGAGATAGAATCAACAATCAAAATTTGAAAAATTGGGTGTGTATGAGGTAAATTAGACATTGTGTCCTTCTCAATGAAAATAGAACTTCAATTATAAATTACAGCAAATGCTCAAAATGCTGACCTTGTTCATGATAACACAACTGTGCCCTTCTCTAACAATGCTGTACTGAAGGTTATCAATATTTTGATATCCCCTCTGACCATAAACTCTATTTTCAGTGTACCCCATAAGAATGTATCCATAACACTTGAGTCTGGAGACCTTGCTAGCCACCTCACCGGCCCATTATTCTCTATCTATTTGTCACCAAACCTTTCAGTCAGGTGAGTAGATACTCATCTGGTAGTGTGCGGTGGAGCACCATCATGTTAAAACCAGATGTTGTTATAGTTAGCNCTAAGGCAAGAGTTTAAGGAAAAGACTATTGCAATATACTCTGATAGCCAAGCAGCTATAAAAGCAATTAGCTCCATGCAGGTCAATTCCAAACTGGTCTGGAACTGCCTACAAAAGCTACAAGAACTAGGTAGTCAAAACAGACTGTCATTAGCCTGGATACCAGGCCACACAGGTTACAAGGGCAACAAAGAGGCTGATTCACTAGCACGAGAAGGAGCACGATGCTCCTTCAAACTTGTAACAGCAACTGGAAAGAAAAACAATCTCGAAATGGTGGAAT